AAATTCTTCATATGCTGAATTCACATCATTCATTTTATATATTAATCTCCAATCGTAGGCCAACAACGAAGCTTCACTGTAAAAACACAAAATCTTAGCAAGTAATTTTTATCTGGTTTCTAGTGTAGGTATTTTAGTACATCTATAGTAGCTTTTCAAAGTCAAAAAGTCCTTAACATTGATTTTTAAAAAAGTATTATTTCCATTTTCAGATTATTTCACTTATGGAAAAAGGAATTATTAATTTAAACAACCTAATTTCTTGATGAAAAGTTACTTTTAAGTGAGTTTTGTCTTATTTCAAGCGTTTTTAAGCGTATTAAGGAACAAAAATACTTGGCAAGATTTTGTGTTTTTGCAGTGCAGTTTGTAATTCTCTTCTTCTGGTACTGACAGGATACATTATTGGGTTTTTGCTTGAGCTTTAATTCAAATATACAAAAGTTTTAAGCATTTATATCGAGAAAAGTACTACTAACTGTAGATTTTAGTAAAACTTTATTGGCTTCTAGAAAAACAACAGTATATATGTCAGTATATTTCCATAATTAAAGAATATATTTCTAAATATGCAGAAAGAAAGTCTTACATATTTCATTTATATAAGGAAAAATGGACGTTTCAAGTGATTTTAAGGTAATTGTGGCTTCATTGAGGTGAGATACTTTTACTTTTTTCCAGAAAGTCTTAACAAGCCTCATTTTCTTGTACTGTAGGCAGATAATTTTTCTTATTTTAAATAATGTATAGCTTATTTTGGAATGTTTTGTGAAAGGTGAGTTTTTGCAGTGTACCTCCTATAAGCATGGTGCAGATGGAGAAGATCTTCTCTGCGTCCGTGTTGGCAGACACGTTCCCGAAGCCCACGCTGGTCAGGCTGCTCAGAGCGAAGTACAGGGCCGTCACGTAGCTGCTCCGGGTCGACGGGCCCCCGCCCAGCATCTTCAGGCCCCCCGATCCTGAAATGTTCCCATAGTCTTGGCTCGAGTTCCAGGGGCCCTGCCCCGCGACCTCTGACCCCGATGCGTTCCACTGGGTGCTGTTGGCTGGGAGGCTGCTCACTGCGGGAGGGGTCTGTGTGGTCAGAGGGGACATGAAGTACGGGGTCCCCAGGCGCTTTGCCAGTTCATAGAGCCAACCTGTGGGGAGAAAAGGGAAAATACAAAATATTACCAAGTATATTTGTCTCATCTCTAGTGGAAATACCTCAATACACTTGAAATAAGAGAAAAATATCTTAAAAGTAACTTTTCAGCAAAAAATGAGCTTGCTTTAAGTTAATCATTCCTTAATATTGATAAATAAAAAGTATAAGTTCCACTAGCAGATTATTTCACCTAAAACAAGGCATTTTTCCCATAAGTGAAATAATCTGCCAGTTATTCTAGTACTTTTTCATCAGTATTAAAAAATTATTGGCTAAGGACACGCTCTCATATCTCACTGAAAAATTACTTGCAAGTAACTGTTATCTTATTTCAAGTGCATTAAGATATTTGCACAAGAAACTAGAACAAAAACACTTGGTAATATTTTGTGCTTTTGCTGTGCACACCTTGATAAAAGACTGATTCATTTCTGAGTCTCTTCCATAAAAACAGGTGAAATATTTTCAGTTCTTTCTATTCTATAATGAAAAGCCACCTTTGAAAAAATGTTAGTTGTAAGTTAAATTCAACTTCAACTTGAATTCAGTGGCATAAAAATATTTATTTAAACTTAACGAGGAGGTGTTCTCTCTCCTACTCTTTATTTTGTGCAAGTATTCATAACTCTGGAACAATTTTTGTTCCATTAATAAAATACTGAATGTATTTTACTGGGATTTTGTGTGACAGACGCACACAAAGTAGTGCATAACTCTGAAGTGGAAGGATACGTAATTTTCTCAAATTTTTCACAAAATGCGAAATTAGGTCCAAACAGGCATTTTGAGCAGCTGAATGGTTGCCATGGAGATTAAAGGATTTCTTAAACATGCATGAAAGATCAAAGCAACGCTCCAGGTATGTTTTTGATGAATAGATAACATTATAACATGATGTAAAGACAAAAAAAAGTCAATTTTACATAATACTGCCCCTACAAATCTTTATAAATCAAGTAAATAACTGAAGTTTGCGGTTGTAGGACAACAAAATGTGATAAAACTTAAGCGTAAATCAGAAGTGCTAGAAAATGCATCCAGGATGAGCAATATGAAAGATGCGAAGCATCTAGATGAAGTAAGCAGATGTCCTCAGTGCACAGGAACAAAAAGGAGGAAAACGCTGCCATTTGTGAGTAAATGAAGGCTGTAATAAAACCCAGCGGAGTCTGTGACAGCAGCAGTAGACGGATGTTCTGATAAGAATTACACAGTGCAATATGGATGAGTCTATTTATTGATCCCTGGCATCCAGGCCTTCAGGGAGCGGCTTTTGTTCGCCCGCCAGCATCAATAAGCAGAAGTGACAGCGGAGCTGCGAGCGGATCCCCAGCAGAGCTGCTAAACCGTCAGCATCAGAGGATTTAACACCCGAGTAGTTTCCTGATTACATCGTCATTAGTGCAACTTAACCTCTGCCAAGCTCCGAACACACGGGCCTGACTGGAAGTTTGTTTCACCAAAGCGTGCGCAGCTGTGGATTACAACGGGAAAACCCAAAACTGATTACTTGTTTTAATTGAGGACGGTATCAGTGTGTGACTTTCAGATTACCGATCAGGTTATCAGCCCGATAGCTGCACAAAACCTGTTCATTTATTAACAAGACCTAAAAGAAAGTATTGGCTGTTTTAAGCTCATTGCTTTTACAAATCAATCACAATCACTAAAATTACTAAGCAAACTCTGTAAAACTGCTATTTCACCTTCGGGATTAATAAAGTATATTCTGATTCTGATGTCAACAAAACAAAAAATTAATGAAAGAGAAATATTTGATGTGAAATAATTGATTGCTAGAATACTCTCCCCATTTAAAGTAACAGATTTGTAAATCTAGCTCTGTCTTAATGAACAGGTTACAAAACTCAAATCAAATAATAATAATAATAATAATAATAATAATTAGGGGTGCACTGATTTATCGGTACCGATTTCCTTAATTTTGGGAGATCGGTGATTGGCCAGTTTTTACATATGAAGCTGATCTGATCCACTGATCTTATCTAGCTAAGCAAAGGTCTAAGAATCAACCACTGTCCTCTTTTGCTCTCCAGTGAGAGAAGCTTGACTGACAGACCGGCCCAAGTTCTGTCTGCATGTTTACAATTAACAATAGTGACCCCACTGTTGCCAACTCAACGGCTTTCTTGCTATATTGAGCAACATTTCAGACGGAAAAAAAAAACGGTATTAGCCAAAATCAGAATCGACAGGTTAAGCTTTTTAAAAGGTCGATAATCGGCAGAAAACTGCAATCGGTGCACCCCTAATAATAATAATAATAATAATAATAATAACAACAACAACAACAACAATAATATACCAAATAAATGATTTTTGTTACATTTTATTAATACTGTCTGTTTCTGAACACTCAGCTGTTCCAAACTCGAGATTCTCATGATGACGCCGCAGGAAATATAATAGTTTTTCTTTTTCTACTCTGTCATCCTGAAATTTCTTTATTAATATTATTGGTTTTCAAACAAAGAACAATAACAACAAAAAAATCCAAATGTTATCAATAAGAAAAAAACAAGCATGCACAGCAGATACAAACTGACTGGATATTACTTCTTGTTGAAGTAATATTTGTTTATAGGTGACTTTTTTTTATGTCAGATTAAAAAATGAATGGACTGCTGATTTGTCAACATACTAATGTAAAAGCTCTTGTATATAACAAAGCACAGTAATGACATCAATCTACCTTACATAATAACCAAACACTCTGGCCAGGAAAACCTTAAAAATGAAAAACCTTAGTCTGCAACGGGTGTTGTACAGTGGAACAGCTGGCATGACTGTTTCCTTGGAGGAAGAAGTTTTTTCTGCATCGGATTTTACAGGTTCTCTCTCTCTGTGTGTGTGTGTGTGTGTGTGTGTGCGTGTGTGTGTGTGTGTGTGGACAGCTGTTTGTCCTGTGTGGCCCTGTGATGGACTTGTGACCTGTCCGGAGTGTACCCTGCCTGTCTGCCTTGGGTAATAATGTGATTTATTTATTTTTTTCAAACCAGCTGGAGGAGAGAAACATGGAACCATAAACTACAGAGCAAATCCAGATGAGCATTTCGCTGCACCTGTGGTACATGTGCTACACATGTACCACATGTGGTACATGTGGTATTTGACATGTACCACATGTCAAATACCACATTTGACATGTGGTATTGCTGACAATACCGTGGAGCAGATCTACCTTTTCTAAAAGAAAGGTTTAAGCTGCAGCTGTGTTTCCATTAACCATAAAACTGCACAAATTGAAAAGGCCAAAATAAATTCTCTTAACAGAAGCACATCAATTTTGGAAAAAAAAAAACCTCATGTATTTTTGGCCGACTACAATTTCCCCAAAACGCCGCATACGTAGCTGCTCCCACATATGAGGAGCTTGTTGCTCCAACAGCCGAGTAAGATGCCGACGTCTCTCCTGATTGGCTGATGGTTTCTTCAGAACCATGACTGAATTATGAACATATCTGTTTACATCCGTCGCTGCCATAATTTTTAATGACTTACTGCGTGAACAAATGTATTCACGTGCAATCTTAATTTAATATCTTATTTAATGGAAAGAATGCACTTGTGAAATTGTGTGGTTTTTTTTTGTGGAAAACAGACAAAGATTTTTGCACACTTACAGCACCTGTATGAAATTAGTGCACTCTGTTTTGCAACTCAGGTGCATAAATATTATAAATTTATGTCTTATGGTTATATTTGTATTAATATTTAAGACCTTGGATGGAGTAGCTTGTCAACAAATAAGCAATTCTCCCTTGGGGATCAATAAAGTCTATTCTATTCTATTCTATTCTATTCTATTCTATCCTATTCTATTCTATAAAGGAGGTAAATAAAGTTGTAAAAACTGAAGCTGGTTTCAAAGCTCTGTGTTGGGTCTGCCTCTGTCCGTGGTGCTGATGTCTCCTGTCCCTCTCGTTAGGTGGAGTAAACTTTCTCTCTCAGCTGTCTGTGTACTGAAAGCTGTTCAGTACTTGGCTGCTCCAGTATGAATCTCCACATATTGCTTTCAGGTCCAACATGTTCTGTTGGCTCATTTCCTGTTGGAATTTAACACACTGTCTTTTTTACACCTCTGTCAGATAAGCTTACAACTAATCTCTCCACTACAATTTTGCTCGGTTAGTTATCACCTTGTATCTAATTATGTACTGTCTACATGGCTGCCAGATTTTTTTTCCAAGTCTAGCTCTCAGCCTTTTTAGAGGTACGATAAAAATCACCTCAGTGTTTCTCATCCAGTGCAGTCTGGCTTTCTGTGGTGCTTTCCTGTTACTGTCAACATGTAGCTCTCTGCTGAAGTGAACTTATGCTGCTGTATTTAGTTTATGAAGTGAGTGCTTCATTTGACATGTGGTCCATTTAAAATTTAGAACAAAGGTTTTAAATATTGATTTAGAAAATAGTTTCCATATTTTATTAAAAGTTAAAAGACAACTGTTTATTTGAGTTCATTTTGTAGCACAATCGAGTAATTACGTTATCTTCAATTGCTATAAAGATGATATACGTATTAAATACGTCTTCAAAGATATTTAACTTCATATTTTAACACCTTGAAATTGGGCCTCTGTCTCTTTAAGAAACTCCTGCTCTTTCTGAAACTCCACCTTCATCACAACATGGTTCCTCTATTAAACTCTTAACAAAGCTTTTTACCAGTGTTGCATTGAGAAGTAGTTCCTATAATGAGGTCAGCAGACGTGCAGGTCCACCAGATGTTTGCTAATTGCTGCTGGTTAGTCTGAAGGAGCTGAGTGGGGCAGCTCCCACAGGGAAGATGAATGGTTGCCATGGAAGATCCATGGATTTCTCAAACATGCATGAAAGAATCAAAGCAACATTTAAGGTATGTTCTTGATGAGGGACTAATATTACAACATCATGTAAAGCTGAAAAAAGGCGATTTTACACAATACTATCCCTTTAACAGGTGGAAACCTATAGCGATGTCAGGTTAGACCAGATCTGTCACAATAACAAATTTTGGTGGACGACAAATTGTCCAAGAAGTTATCGAGATGAACGATAATATTGCTGTTTTGAGATCATTTCGAGCAATAACACATTCTTACAGATCAATAAACATTCAATTTTGATGAACATTTACCACTGGAACTGGAAAACATTTTAAATATCCAAAATAAATAAATAAAACAGAAACAACAAATAAAATGGATCATGTAGTCTCTGGTTGAGACCAAAACACGAGAATGAAGACTTTTATCATCCAGTTTTTTGGTAGAAAAAGAGAAAAATGATAAATTATAAATTTAGTTTGTTTTAATATATCATGCGATTAATTGATTTGTTGAGTATTATGACATGCCTGGGTCAGAGGTCACCTAAAGTGTTGCAGATTTGAGGAGAAAATGTTTCTTTCAGTTTTTCGAGGGTGTGAGATTCGACTCTGGGTTGAAACGAAATCTTGGAGGCTTAGGGAAAAAAATGACTTGTGACCACCTGTGGATGAAAGTCAAATCACAGTTCCTTCATATTTCTGTGCACCAATCCTTCCTGCCACGTCCATCTGTATTTGAAAGGGACCAAATCCACATCCCAAGACGCGTCTCCTATATCACACAGGATGTATTGCTTCTCCACTGGCTGAGTGAACTCTCAACCACACGCTGCAGCTCTGCAGTCTGTAAATTATTGACGTGAAGACAGCAGCAGCAGAATGCTGTCCAGTGACTGACAGACTGAACAGTCCAGCGTATGCTTGCTCTGATATCAGTCCTCCATTGTGAATCTCAGCTGGTGGCACGTAAAGGTCAGGCCGCAGGCTGCTCTTTGTTGTCCCCTGGATTGCCTCGGCCTTTCTGAATGGTCAATTGAGGCTCTGCTGACATGAACCGACTGCAGCGCGCCACCGCTCCGCTGAAAGGATAATGACAGTTTGGACGGTGCGAACGGATGAGATGGGAGATCGAGAGAGGACGATACGGCGGGATGCGCTGAAATCAGAGAAGGAAAGGAAAACGCGGCGAGCTGTAGTCCACAGATCAGAGAACAAACTCATTTTCAGCGTCTTTCGTGTTCCTCGTGTCGCTGCTAAATATAAAAGAGGAACATAAAGCTTGAGTGTCGCCTGAGGTCTCAGTCAAAAGGATTAAAGTTTGCTCCTTTGCCCTTGGAAACTCCCTGTCTGTGTGTCTGTACGTGTTCATCAGACTGTGAGTCAGGGTTTCACACCGCCTGCAGGACTTCACGTTCCCCACTGAGACGCTTGTGGAATTATAAAGTTTGAACTACAGATTCTTGATTTGTCTGTAAAGCAAGTCAAATGTAGCTGAGAAGCAGGACTGAGCAGGACTTTAGGGAGGAATGCAAAACAGACTGAGATAATCACAAAACAATGCTCATCAAAGGAGGACAAAAAAAAACTAATAAAAAGTTACAAAAGATGTAAAATGCTTTGCAGAAAAAGGAAGTGGGGGGGGAGACTAAAAATGTTAAGAGAGGATTTTTCCACAACTGCTTTTTCAAACACAAACAACAAAGTAAAAGAAAGTAGGGTTGGACAATATGAGTGAAAAACGTAGAAGACATAAGTCTTTCATATCAGTCAATGTCAATAACACTGGGTTACGAAAAGTATTTTTTGGAAGTTTTCTATGTATTTTCAACTGAATTATGACTATTTTGCGCCACTGAATCCAAACATGACATCCATTTTTCTCAAGCAGGTCAGGTTTTTATTCTAATCTGGTTTAGAAAAAGCTGATCTGACTACACTGATGATATTTTTGTGACATTATCAGTTCATTTTCATTAATGTTTCTCATCCAAAAAAGATTTTAAGACTGAAAACAAAAGTTTTCTAACAGAGTGTGTTAATTAAATGTTACAAACTTGGATTTCTGTAAATTGAATAATAAACACTGATAAGGGTAAGTACATGTAAATTGAGCAGGACGTCTTCATTGTGTAAAATTCTCCGTCTCCTTCCTGTCCTGATGGAGTCTCTCCTCCTGCTCTTCACTCACTCATCAGATTCTCAGGAAACCGATCCAGATGTGAGAACAAGTCCTGCATTTTGATGCTCATGTTGCTCCATAGTTCAGAAAGTTGACCTGATTGAGGAAAACCAATCAGATTTTTGGATTCAGCTCATCGAAATGACCTTAAAACTGTTGAAAAACCCCAGGCGGATTTTTTTGGGCTGTTGACCATCGATTAGTTTTTCGTTTAAATATCTGAAATACTACCAGACGACGTGTCTGCTGTGTGTGCGCAGTGTGATAGATGTGGGTACAGCCTGTGACTGCTTAATGATTATTATCGATTAAATGCAAGTTCTCACTTTAAAGGAAGAACACATCGGACGCGTTGCCATGCGTCTCGTTGATGGAGACGCCCTACTGGTGCCTTGAACACACATTAGGATGTTTGTGCTGAAACACACCAGACTGCTGCACTTCAGCCCCGGGCTGTTCAACACAAAATAGTAGGAGTGTTTTTTTTTGTGTGTGTGTGTTGCCCCTCAGACCTCAACAATAAAAATGAAAGGCTGATGGCTTAGTCAGCCATCAGGATTAGAATGCATATGTTGAGTCATGTCTGCATGGCTGGTTCTCCAGTGATTGCTCCACACAGGCACAACAGAGAGGAGGAGTGTGTGGGAGGAGTTCATGGAAAAACATTCAGACGTTGTGCCTTCTCTAGTTTTGTTTGTTTGTTTGTTTGTTTTTGTAATTGCACAAGCAAACACAGCCAAGATTCATTTAATTTATGTGAGCAAAGTTTTTATCAGACGGTTTTCCTTGGATAAAATCAGGATTTTACTATAGAAGAGAATAGATCTTTAACATTCTTTCAATGTGACCAAGATTAGAAATGCAATTATAAAAACTTTTTTTTTGCCTTTTGAGAACAAATGGATGAAAAGCAATGATAAATGATGAATGATGAAAAGGAATGTTGCCCACATATTAGTTGTGTGAATACAATAAAACTGACAAAGAAAAATACCAGCACTACTGGTCAATGTGTTTTTCATGCTAATTATCACATCATTTCCTGTTTTTGGGCAATTTTATGAAAAGAATGATAAATGATTATGGGTCTGTTCATTTAGGGCTGTTAAAGGTTGAAGCACATAAACAGTTTCATCACATTTGATCTTTGAGGCAGTTTTTAAAACTGTGATCCTGCACAACACTGGATGTTAAAGTGTACAGCGGAGGCTCTCACTTTGATGATGATGAAATTTATATTGTGGACATGTAAGCAGTAAATGTCAAAAGGGTAAAATAGGATAAGAATAAGAAAATAAAAATAGGAATAATCATCAACATAAAAATAACATTTTAATGTTCAATTGGAGTAGGAATAACTAAATTCTTATTAAATCAAACCCCCAGTTGACTCATCAAGCGTATTTCAGTGTAGAAAGTAGAATTCAAATGCTTCCCATGTTATAAATATTTATATATAATTTGTCCTCCATATCACAATTATCCATTCTGCATTTTCCAAAAATGTTCAATTGATTTGTTGCTATGCAGTCTACAGCATTTATGCTAACTATGTTCAGTCAAAGCAGTTTAAGTTTGTAGCCGCACAGGAAGGAAGTTTTATGGTGCATTCATCATTAAGCTTTCAACATTTCAGCAGCCAAATCAACTTTTTTTAAGCTCTATCATGTTATAATGATATTCCTTCATCAAAAACATACATGGAGTGTTGCCTTTATTCTTCCATGTTTGAGAAATCCTTTAGTCTCCGTGGCAACCAACTGTGCAAAGCGCCTGGTTGGACCTTGTACCTCCTCTGAGTTTCCAGGCTTCTGAGCTTCCGCCTCACAGAGCCTCTCCTGACTCATATCGCCTCCAACCCGCTCCTTCAGACTAGCCAGCAGCAATTAGCAAACACCTAGTGGAACATCTGCTGAGCTCATTATAGGAGTTACTACTCAGTGCAACGCTGGTAAAAATGTTGTTAAAGGGTTAATAGAGGAGCCATGTTGTGAAGACTTCATGTAGAAGGGGAGGTTCAGAAAGATCAGGAGTTTCTTAAAGGGACAGAGGCCCAATTTCAAGGCATCAAGTTACAAAGTCAAATTTCTTTTAAGCCATATTTCATATATGCCACATCTTTTGTAACAGCTCAAAGTAACATAGTTACTTGATTGTGCTATAAAATCCCACTGTGTACCTGAAAAATACATAACAGTGCCCCTTTAAATTTGTAAAATGTGTGAAAACCATGTCTCATTTTTCTTCCCCCATCAGAATGTGGTTTAGCATTGGTCAAGTGCATACAATTCTAATAAAATACATCCAAAAGATACATATGTTCTTGCAAGGAACTGTATGTAAGTTAAAACCGAAGAAGAAACATGCATGGATAGTAAAAGTGCCCACTCACCGATGTCCGAGGAGCCCAAGCTTTCGATCTCCTTGCGGCCGATGTAGTACCAGACACAGGCCATCCAGTGGGCCAGCAAGGCAAACATGGACATGAGCAGAGTCAGAACCACGGCGCTGTACTGCGAGTAGCGCTCCAGCTTCTGCAGGAGCCGCAGCAGCCGCAGCAGCCGGACAGTCTTCAGCAGGTGGACCCTGAAGTTCTGCACACAGGGGCACAACGAGAGGTCAAAAGGTCAGTCTGAAGAACAAATAAGTGTTCTAAAGCAGAGGAATGACAACTATTTCACTTATCAGCTGGATCTCTAAATTTGTTGTTGATAGAGAATCCAACGTCTTTAAGCTTCTAATAAAACTGAACAATGAGTCAGTTAGCACTTAGCTGAACTAATTTAGCCCTCGCTTCATGACCTTTCAGAATTCTTTGCAGGTGAGCCAAACTAATTAGAGAGGAAATGTGTTTGTGTACAACAGCAAAATGAAAGAAAGGATGATCCAATCATTTGAGAAAATGGGACTGTGCTAACGAATTAAATAACAGTCAAGATATTGTCTTTTGTAAAAATAATAATAATATTTGTAGAGGTTTTGGTTACACGAGTGAACTCACCACAGTGACATTGAAAGCGTAAAGCAGGTCAAAGGGCAGGGCAGCAACAAGGTCAACAAAGAGCCAGGTGGTGACGTAGTGGACACAGATGGAGCGGGCGTCGTAGACCACCTGACCCGACGTGCTCACAAAGGTCGTACGAAAGTTCAGCATGATGTCTGAGGACAACAACAACATGCTGTTAAAAAACAGATACGTGCCAACAATGGAGCAGCATTCTGTTACCCTTTTATGCCATACATTTAAAATCTCCGCCTGGATATTTTTGCTTATTTATTGCTTATTTTTATAATAGCTGAATAGAATCTAGAAGTATTCATGTAAAAGACAAACTGGAACAACACTGCTGCCCAAAACTTTAAGAGTATGGTGGTTTATATTTCCATTCAGCTAAAACTCTTCTATCTTTCTTCTTTCTTGCACGAGTAGCTTTTATTCATCAGTAGCTGGACAGGAAGGTTGTAGTTTCTGCATTGAGTCTGTTGGCTGATATCTCAGAAGATAGGCAGGCAAAACATCATTGTTGTGATTCTGTTATCCAAGTTACATAATGATGCCTTCAGTGTAGACTCTTAGCTTTAGTTTAGAGACATGCAGATGCTAATGGCAATTTATATCCACACTTTATGTTGTCGGTTTCCATTTGTTAAAGCAAAGGAGAAAAAATTACAACAACAACAACAACGTGTATGTTCTGTTTTTACACAAACTTTTATTTATTTGAAACTTTCTTGTCATTTCTGTTGAGCAATGCCCAAACGCCGGCATCAGTAAACAAGCAAGCCCTCATTAGGATGAAAGCCAGAGGGTGGTGGAGCAATTCTGGTGCAGCGTGTGCTTCTACTCTTCAGCAACATAAATGTCACGTTTCAGCTTTTCGTGATTTATATGAGCTCAGATTCAGGTTGAATATACAACCTCAATCCATTTTTAAAGTAAGAATTCGGCGCACTGTTTTGAATTTATTGTAAGTTATGTCGAGTGAATGTGACCTCAGACACAAACAAACACCACCAAACTATTATTATTATTGATTTCACCACTCCTCACGATAGAACTGTGATGAATTCAGGAAGTCATCACAACATGATGCCTGTAGTAACATCAGAACGCGTGACTTGCATGATGCAAAAAAAAAAAAAAGAAGTGTTCCCATTGCAGTTTTGCTAAATAGATCTATTCTGATACGGCTGAAAAACCACCTCCTTCCAACACAAAACTTTTTTATTGAAAAGCATGGATTTCTTCAAAATTACTGCGTTTTCATCAAGCAAATTTATTTTCGTTATCTCTGTTTGCCCAATTTTAAGAGACAAGGGTCATTCAGACCCCACAAGCTTTTTTACTCTGCGCGCAGTCCAGCGGGGTCGTACTGACCCTGCGTGCGATTTTACAAGGTCCTTTTTGTAAAATCGTAGCCCCGCTGTCAGACTGTGACATTTTTCTAACACCATCAGAGGGTTAATGGAAACTCAGCTAACAAGAGCCGATTTCCGCACTTCAGATGAAGTATGAGTCCACTGGACCTATGTGAGAGAGAAGCTTTCCAGATGTTTTCATTGATCAAAATTAATATTAACTAAAACAACTATATACAGAAGCAAGACTTCAAGAACACATCAGCTTTAGGTCTTTCAGTAGAAACTTTTACAGACATGCCACCGTATCGAGAGGTAACAATAGCACACCTCTGATCAGGACTTTATATCCTTTTTTTGCTATTCAAATATTCACAGAGGAGAGTCTCGACTGCTCATTATCCTTCAAAGTGCAACTCTATTTGCTGAGCATAAACAGGAAGTGAGTGAAGGCGGTTCGTCTGCCATCTGCTCACTTTTATAACATATTTCTTTATTAAAAGCATGAATTAACCTGACGGAACAACTTAAACAGGTCGTCTGCAAAGTGAACGGGTGAACTGAAAGTATTGATCAGCAGGCTTGGCCTATTTTCCTAACGAATGGGATATTGATTGACAGGAGTTACACATCTCACTGCAGTTGGTTTCCATGAATCCAACGGTGAACTTTCAGGACGAGGGGTCAAGTTGTAATTTATGACTTTTCCAATAAAACTAATTGTGCGCTGAAGAGATCTCACTCTCGCAGTTAGGCCAACAGGAACAAAGAGGCATGCCGGTTTCTTGGAAAAAGAGTCGGCAGCGAGAAGTAATGGCCTGATGTAAATGGCTCATATCCTCTTACTGCGTCATGCATCATTAAAAAGCTTTACAGGTTTTGGAGATGGAGGATTATTGGCTGACCTCCAACCGGCAGGAGGCAAACACAACCACCAACAACATTCTGCCAGCCGGTTTCATATCAGTCAGGATCTAAAGGTTCATGTTGCTTCCTTTTACTGCTCTCTACACCAACGCTGAAATAAAATTCCTGGAACTATGCAGGCAGAGGAAAGCATAAAAACTAAAGCGTAAACTCAAACTTTTCTAAACTTTCTTAACCCTAACACCTTATTCCACCTTAAATCAGATCATGTTTGTTCATTTCATTTGTTGTTAACCTTTTAAACTGGTGACGTTTTCAGTACAGTTGCATTGACTGTTTTATACTTTTTGACAATACTGCTTTATATTATCGATCATGTTGGAATGTGAATGATTTATTCTGAACTATCTGCAGAAACGCTGAACCGATAGCTGCCTGGTTTCTCCCAGCAACAGATCTCTTTTTCTCAGAAAGTCCTAATCCTTCTTAACACCGTCCTGCTGCTGGACTCTGCTCTAATGTCTCCTCCTTGACTTTTTGCTCTTTCTACTGTGGCAATAAATATTCCTTTTAAATCTGAGGAAAGCAACAGTGAGCACAACTTCTGTACAGAAATGAAAGAGGATTAGGTTTTTTCCTGGCATTAACTAACTAGCAAAGAGGATAAAAAACATAACATTAGTATTCCTGTTATTGGCCTTAATATGACATACTGGCATAGATTAACTAATCATCATTTAGCTTTAGCATTACTCAACACACACAGTTTGCTTGGAAGAAAACTCAGTAATGTCTTGTGACGTTTGGCTCTGGCTAATTGCTGAACATGACACAGACCTGCAGCCGGGCTCAGCAGCTGCTCTCCCCTCTGAGATCAGACCCACAGCTGGAAAAGTTTATCTATACGCTCATGGTGTGTTTAATGACGGCCTGGAAAATCACGTTACCACATCTTCACTGGAACATTGACCAATATATTTGATGTGTAATTGATCATTTTGATGATGACACTCGACAAAATGTAATGTCTGTTTCTGTACTGGTGACTGTATGATGTTTTTATGACTTTATATTTTTGTGTTTTAATCGTGTAAACGGCTTTAAACTGCCGTGTTGCTGAAAGTGACCAATCGAACTAAATCTGTAGGAGATAAACAACATGAGCGAGTTGTTCATTTAATTTGTTATTGACCTCTTAAAAATTATCTCTCTCTCTCTCTCTCTCTCTCTATATATATATATATATATATATATATATATATATATATATATATATATATATATATATATATATATATATATATATATATATATATATATTTTATTATTTGTTTTTTGAGTTGATTCTCACCTAAAATGAAAAGAATCTCCACCAGGATGTCGCTGACACTGGGTGGATTTCTCGAGGTGCCGCCTTCGTCCCGCCCTCCACTGAAGCAGACGTTGTAGGGAACGGTGACGGCCACGTAGAAGGTCGCCAGCAGAATCAGCCAGTCCCAGCCGGCCTTGAAGGTGCCATAGTGGAGCAGGATGAAGCGGGACTTCTGGATGGCTGCTACTTTGTACTCTGGGATCGGAGGTTTCTGCCCAAACATGTTCTGTATCGGATCAAAGGAACACGGTTGTTAACGGCAACATCACGTCGGGGCCTCGACTCACCTCTTTTACTTCCTGCTCACAAGTTTTCTTTCCAAAAGTTGATCAACAATTGAACGTGATCTTATTTCTGTTATACGGCTGCCAAAAACACACCCAGTCATTTCCGCTGAATTTAATCATGAGTTTGTGTAAAGCACAGAACAAATTAGGTCAAATACTTTGGGAAAAGGCCTCTGCTGGTGTCTTCAAATAACTTCCAACTTTCAGCATTTCCATACAAATAGAAACTAAAACCCCATCTGATTTTCACGAGTTCTGAAAAAACCCCAAGCCAAACAAAAACAGGATAAAAATAGTATGCAGCTCTCTTCTATTTACAAAAAAAAGTTTGTAAAAATCTAAACACACCTCAAAAACTCTAGAATTGTGGAAATTATACAAAACACAATCTTTTATTATTATTATTATTATTAAGACTGCATGCTTATGATTTGTCCTGATTTAATTTAAAGATCAAGTGTTACCCTAATATTAAGTTTTTAGAATAAGACTTTCTAAAACATTTCAGATCTGGGCCGCATGTTATTGTTATCCTATATTTTTGTGACTTTGAAACTACATTTGCAGATTATAACAGTTTGAATTACACCGACTGAGAGGCTGCAGAAGATACCGGGATCAAAGTATACCCAGGGTTTAAAAAGTCTGAAGATGCTAAATGTTCCGTCTTGCTGTTCTTGTGGTTTAAACTCCTTTAAGTGAAGGCAGAGAGTCTTGATGGAGTGCTGCCTCACCTTCACCTGTTGATTTTGGTGATGAGGAAACACTTTGTAAAAAAAAAAGGTTAGCTTAGCCTTGGATGTTGTCTACGAAGGTCGTCAGAAGACAGGGAGTCTTCTGCTGCTGTTTTCTGTTAAACCGTGTTCATTATTTCTTTCATTTTATCTGCATTTGTAACTTATAGAAGGAAGCTTGTGATTATGATCAATGTATCAATATATACATTGTTTTTGCATCAAATATAAGCAATTAAACAAATTTTCTTTCAGCAAATCTCAGATTTACTTACATTAACAACAGCTACATTTCCATTGTAATTTGACATTTGGTTAAAAAAAAAAAAAAAAAAAACGTTTAATGGATGCCAATTTCAGAAAAAAAGTCGTTTTTTGATAAAAAAAAAGTTTTGGTGCTTTTTAAAAAGCCATATAAAAATGCATTTACTTCGCAAAACTGCAATCGAAGCACTACTTTTGATCAACAACCAGATGTTGCTACTGAAGCAAACCACGAAGAAGGCAACAGGAAGTGGTCGCAGGCCAGGCTGTAAATCCCATCTCATTACCGGGGGCGACCATAAACAGGGAAATATTTTGAGAGCAATTTTAGGGGGATTGGCAAAGTTATAGTAAAATGTGGTCAATTTTTTTTGTGTGAGTGTTTAAGCTGCACCATCAAAAATGACTAGTAAGTAACAATGAATAACAAAAGTGTTTTTCTCAGTAAACAACCTGCTGAGACCCATAGAAGTCAAACTAAGATTCAAATGTTGTTTAGATATGAGTTTGGTTCAGTGTCATATATCTAATCTCTGCTACACCTTTACAAAAACTTAAGGCCCTAAATAAAAACAAATAAAAAGTAACTCCACTTAATAAAATTCCTCATAAATATTGATTTATTACAGTGGTTCTCAATATAAGTCATGTGTTATTTAAATTATAACTTAAATTGCTTTAAACTTTTCTCTTTTTTCATGTTAAATATGTAGCAATTGAATATTTGAAAAGTATCATAACTTAAACTTAAGGCTCAGCACCAGAGTTTTCTAGAAAAATATTCAGATATTATTTTGTGGTTTTAAAGGCTCTACGTTGAAGGTGGTAAGAAATAAAGGCACACATACTTTATTTTTGTTTTTACTGTCTACTGCAGTAGCCTCTCGGCTCCCATACAGAGCTGTCGGCCAGTGCTAACGCTCAGCCTGCCTCCCGTTTCAAACTCTTCTTATTAAAATAAGTATAATTTAATCTAAATATAATTTAAATATTGGCTACCTTCGATAGAAAAAGGAGCTAAGTCTATGAAAGCAATGTAGCAGTTTAGCTAGTTTTGATTTCCAAGGCATAACAAGGCAGTTTATCATGATTCAGCCGAAGTAATGAAATAACGAACTGTTTATTGTGAATGTGTTTCTTCCTATTGAGCAGTGAAAGTAAATAAAACGTTACATGTCATTTGCTTTAAGTATTTACTTACTGCAGGGTTTTTTGTTAGTGCTGCAGAGCCACAGCTAACTGCTAGCCTCTCTCTTCAGCGGCTCTAACGGAGCCCGAGCCATTCAGCAGCGCAGCTGTTGCTCCGCCTACACTTTGGACTGAACCACTGTTCTAATAATGGTGGGGGGGGACCTAAAAATTAATTTTTTTTTTCTTAGATGAATGGCAGATTTACTTCTTTCTTTGTTTCTATTGCCTTTTTTATATTGATATTGTTTAAATACAAGGGTTTCTTTCATGATTTCTTTGGGGCGGACAATTCTGGAGGGCGGGGAGGGGGGGGGGGGGGGGCGGCCCCCCCCCCCCCCCCCCCCGGGGTTTTCCC